TTAACTATTCATACCTTTGTTTGTTTACACCTATAGCTCATGTTTGTACCTTGAAAATGGCTGAAGATGGGTTGAGTGCTCACCCTGCCTCTTCCTACAGCATGTCCTGAGCTGTGTAACAAACCTTTCTCTGCTGTCACCATGCCTCTTTATTTGGCATATAGGGTGAGTGAACAGACCTCCTGGCATGTGGAATCCCAAGAGTTTGGGCCTTGAGTCTAAAACTCATCTTTCGTAAGTAGATCAGGACAGACACAAAGGCAAATAATTAGCACCTAAAATACTTAGAAAAGCCACGTAACATATTGATCAATAACATAATGAACAACCCTCTGTACCCATGAGACCCCATCCCAAGTACCCAAGAGATTTTTTAACAATCCTTGGAGAGAATCTATGGGACATGACCAATAAACAATTAGAAAAAAAACAGCAACAGATTATTACCATGGACAAGGAAGGTCTCAAAACATACCAGACGAAAGAGAATATACCAGAGCAGAACAGTAAAAACTTAGGACAGACTTCACACCAAAACAAGCCATAGATGTTGACTGACTATGCATGTGTAAGATGGAGGAGCATATACTACAACATAGCTCTAAATGGCTCTGACATGAATCAACTCTCCTTTTTAGCAGAAAACCCAAATCTACACCATGAGCTCCTAAGATTTACAACCAATCACTCAGAGTGCTGTAAGGGGAGCAATGATAGAGGTGACTCCATTTTGGATGAGAAAGCACTTTAAAAACAGACATGTTAAAAGGATGTGAGAGAGAACAGGTTTCTCACAGAAATAACAAGTCTCTAACCAAAATAACAAGATGCAGTTGCACAATGTGGGTGGTGGGCCCCAAGGCCAGGATGAGCTGACCAGACATTCTTGGAATGCTCAGTTCCATAAGGAAGGGATGGACGGGTGGCCAAGCTCAGTGAGAAGCTGACTTGGCACTAACCAATCACCAATATAGTTCCAAGGTAGGCTAGTTGGACCTAAACCAGTTAGTGCCCTATATCATCTTCTAGATTTCAGCTATTGTTTGGCTTAGCTCTTTCACTAAGTCTCACCTGGCAGCGTGGTTTGCTATCCTTTCAATAAACTTTGTGCTTGCTTTACTCTTAACTCCTGGTCCAGCATCTTCAATCATCAACTTCACTAGGACATGAACTCGGAATCAACAATACAGTATCGCCATCACTATAGGACTGGACAGGAGTAAGCTGGAGACTAACAAACCCTTACTGCAACCCAACAAAATCTGAGGATAACTTAAAATTGACAGACCTAGATCAAGCAATTAGGAACACAATGAAATTAATAGTCCTAGCAATATATATATATATATAACCAGACAGGTACACATACGACACTGTTTGAGGGACCAGCAATGAAGCTCTACTTCACCTAGTGGTATAGCTCAGTGGTAGAGTACTTGTCAGGCTTGTCACAGCAAAACAAACAAACAAACAAACCAACACAGGTGCACCACAACATCTAAAACTCTTCATTCACTTATGCATAGCAGGTTACCAGAACATACTTGATATATTGCAAACATTTATTTATTTTTGTGGTACTGGAGTTTGAATTCAGGGCCTCATGCTTGCTAGGCAGGTACTCTACCAATCGAACCACACCACAGCACTGTAAACCCATAAACTTTTCAAAACTATCTGAATAACACAAAGTAACATGATAAAATGACTTCCAAATCCTGATCCACAATAAGACAGCATTTTTTTTCACATTTAACACTAGAACAGTGAACAGACCACAAACATCTAGGACAACTATATACCAAATTACAACCGTATGAATAAACAAAACATCAACAGACCTAGGAACAAGTGGACAGATGGTGGTTGTGTACTTGCACTAGCAAGATGTGAAATCACTGTGCCTTAGCATTTGTCCTCAAAATGGAGTAGCTCAGGGCTGGGCACAGCCTGCTCTACACAGATACCTTCTCTTCCTATCAAATTGATGCAGATTAAAAATAAGCAAAACAAAGAGACCAATCCTGGAGAGACCTGACAGACAGGCATGGTTATTCAATCCTGGTGGGACTGTAAATTCCAATACCCTTTCCAGAAAACATCTGTGAATAGTTACTGAAAGCCTTAGAAATATTCGTGTCTTTTGAACCAAGAATCTCACTTCTAGAAATCGACCCTAAAATTTAAATGTTTAGATAATAATTAATTCATTTTACCAAGTATTTCCTCCCTCCCTCCCTCCCTCCCTCCCTCCCTATCTCCCTCTCTCCCTCCCTATCTCCCTCTCTCCCTTCCTTCCTGACATGCTGCCAAGGCTGGCCTCAAACTTGAGAGCTCAAGAGATTCTCCCAAGACACTACAGGTATCCACCAGCATTCCTAGCTTAGACATTTAATACAGCATGACTTCTAATGGCAAATATTTGGAAACAATTTTTGGGGACGCTAGGGATTTAACCTAGGGCCCTGTACATGCTAAGTACATTCTCTACCTCTACCACTGTGCCACTGCAAGAAAAAATCGTAATAACCAGCAATAGGTCAATAGTAAAATATATCTATACATTCATTGAAAACCATTAACTGAGCATGTAGTGTATGTCTGCTGTTTTATTAGGGCATGTATAATAAAAAATTAACCTTATCCACTGGGGACTGGAGGATTATGCCTGTAATCCTAGCTACTTGGGAGGCTGACATCTGGAGGATCACAGTTTAAGGCCAGCCTGGACAAATAGTTTGTGAGAACCCCCCATCTCCAAATAACCAGAATAAAATGGACTGGAGGTTTAGCTTAGGCAGTAGCACCTGTTTAGCAAGCACTGAAGCCCTGAGTTCAAATCCCAGTCTCACAAAAAAAAATCTTATTCCTACAGAGGCTAGACAAGAGAATCTTTGTTTACCTGGGGCTCTTGGGCTATTCTACACAGTCTAATCATGAGACTTCAGAGTAGGGATCTAGGTTAAGAGTTTTAGGATTAGGCACAGGGGCAGCCAATCAGATTTATATGGCTGACCCCAGTAAAATCTCTGGCATCAAGGCTTGGGTAGGCTTCCCCACTTGTCAGTACTCCAGGATATTATTAAAGAGTATTGCTTGGAAAATCAAAACTGTCCTTGTCTCTACCTGGAGAGAACAACTGGGACCTTTGCTTGTAGAACTATCTGGAATTCAGCTCCTTAGACTGATTTTAATCTAATCACTAATAAATGGCACCCATGAATCTAATTTTCAGTGAGTTCTCTTAATACTTGGAGTTGTCAGTGTCAGAAATGAAGGTGGTCTATGGACTGCTCCCTAACATTACATGACCTTAAGGAGGTGCATAATGCTTTCATTGTAGAGAAGGATACAAACAAACAACATGTGATAAGGTATCATGACTGAACATCATGTGATAAGGTATCATGACTGAGGACATACATGATATCATGAGAAGGAGATATATAGGATACGTACATCTAGGAAAAGCAAATAGCATTTAAGGGCTTGCACGCGAGACAAACAAGTACAGTTCAGGATTACTCAAAGGGAATAAAAATGTCAAAAAACAGAACTGTGATTTTTAATAACTTGCAAGTTTTAAAGTAGATTTGCCTTAAAATATGAAATGATTTGGAAATTTAAGAAAATCTCATGGAAAAACCTGAGGTAGAATTGCAATTAATTTGAAGATTGTCAGTTGAAAATATATTCCATATACGTTACAGGTGGGAATGAAAGCAAGTTTGCATTTTATATAAGATAATGGTCAATATTTATTTATTTATTTATTTTTCTTTTATTATTCATATGTGCATACAAGGCTTGGTTCATTTCTCCCCCTCCCACCCCCTCCCTTAGACACCCACTCCACCCCTCCCCTCCCCCCCACCCCCTCAATACCCAGCAGAAACTATTTTGCCCTTA